GAGAGTCCCTCATGGTGAATGTCAACGAGGAGCATTACTACCATAAGAAAGCTGTGACCATTGAGTATTCAGAACTTTTTCAGCTATACAATAAAGACACACTCGACAAATCTATCGTCAGTTGCTATTGTCTGTAAGTGATTTCTTTCTGTAATTTAAGTCTCAATCTAGCTGATCATTTTGATCAATCATTACTTGTAATTATCCTCACTATATTCTTTCTGTGGTATTATGCAGGATGAAGATTTATGAAATGAAAAAAGGTGGACGCTATGGCATTGGGTTCGTTGATCCAAATACCATTAATGAATACACATGGAAAATAGATCCATATCACGCAAAATGTGTAGAGGAAAGCATGCTACAGTTCTTCAAGGAACTCAAATACAATGAAGATATACTACTTCCTTACAACTTCCAGTGAGTCACACTGTCTTGTACTACAAATTCTGTTTTCCCTACTAGCTATAGCTACATGTTTTTGCTTACATATGCCCACTTAATTAAGACATGCAAACGTGTGTGCATGCAGATTTCACTGGATCTTGTTAATCATTAAAGTTGATCAAGGAACAGTTGAAGTACTAGACTCGCTACTTAAGAAAGCAAGTGACTACGGCATCGTGAAGGGGATAGTCAACAGGTAATTTCAATCATTATTAACTATATCTCGGCCTATTTTATTAGTTCGTCATTTCCTGATAACAACTATTTAATAACCCATTTATTCATTTTCTTTGTCGGCGGGCAGGGCTTGGGCAAAGTTCATCAGGGTCACTCCATGCCCATGGAAACAAAGTCTGAAATGGTATCGACCCAAGGTAAGTAATTAAGTAGTACTCCCTCTGTAAACTAATATAAGAGCATTTAGATCACTAAAGTAGTGATCTAAACACTCTTATATTAGTTTACGGAGGGAGTACTACCTAGCTGCCATCTCTTTAATACTCATGCTTGATTAATTATTATCTGATCAAAATTCCATTCTCGTAAAGGCCCTGAAGCAGGCGCCGGGGAATGATCTATGTGCATACTACGTTTGCGAGAGCATTCGCATGATGGCATCCAAAGGAGCAAATCTCAAAGACAGGAGTGGGTACGATATCGATTGTCAGAACACTATTCACAACTTTTACATCATTATCGATATCTAGTCACACAACTAATACACATGCATATTGATCTCCTTCTTAACAGTTCAAAGAGGTGCGGGACAAGCTCCTAGCACAGGACCTCATAGAAGCAATTCAAGAGGAAATAGCGGGATTTTTGCTCGACCAGGTCATAGATCCCAAAGGAGAATACTATTACCCGCTACCGCCCCCATGAACCACTTCCAATTGTTATCGTGCTCCGAAGGCACCAATTAGCTAGGCTAATGCCACTGGCTCCGAAGGCACCAATTAGGAGAAATTGTGTGTGTGTGTGTGTGTGTGTGTGTGTATATACATGTGTGTGTATATATGTGTGAATTAATTAATGGTGGTTGTGAGACATTCGATGATATATATATATATATATATATATATATATATATATTATGATCAGTCGTTCTACTAGAAATTCTATTTATATATATGCATAAAGTGTACAATATGTTGTATCGTAAAATACCAGCAAACGAAAAAGAATTAAATGGAAAACACAAAATTAAATGAAAAAGAAATCATAAACCCAAAACCCCCCAAATATTTTAATACAGGTTGGTGACACCAACCGGTACTAAAGGGCTCCCTGCCCCGAAGCTGGCTCGTGCCACGTGGTTGCCCTTTAGCACCGGTTTGTGCTGAACCGGTACTAAAGGGGAGGGGGCCTTTAGTGCCTACATTTTAGCCCCGGTTACCAAACCGACACTAAAGGGCCTTACGAACCGGTGCTATTGCTCGGTTCTGCACTAGTGATATATTAACTTTAAGTCCAAAAAAAATCAAAAAGTACTCAAGTTTTTTTGGCAACAAGGACTGCTTCGTGATGGAATGACATTTTTGAAGGTCTAGGAATAGTGTTCCAAAATGCTTTCAAAAATAGCAATTTAGGGGCATCACTTTTTTGGCCAGAGCAATACAAATGTTGTGCTTCATGAAACTTTACATACATGAAAACACTCACTAATGTTTATTTTTAAATGATATTTTTTATCCTTTTCGCTATTCATCCGGGTGCATCCAAAACTCCATGTCCTTCTACTCACCTCGTAAGAGCATCTCTAAGCGGACACCCATTCACCTCGCCAGCTCTACATTTGTCCCAGCGTACTGCCCGGAGGGGGCCTGGACAGAAAAACATTCTGCAACTGAACCCTTCACTTTCAGTCCATATGTCCGAGCAATATGACACCCCCATTACTAAGCCCATATGCGGGGCGGAAATGGCAGTGGCTGGATACTTTTGGACGCGTCCAAGTCGGACCAGCCCACCATGACCCCATAAAACCTCACCGCCACCCCACCCTGGACCCCTAACTCACTCTATCTCCTCTGCTCCTAGATCTGTCCTATACTCTCGCTCCACTCCGGTGTCATTCCGGCCGTCCCTCGCCATCATGTTCGGTTCCGGCAGCGAATCCAGATCTGAGGCAGATCCCATTGACCGAGACACCCTCGCGGCAGACTACGTCAAGGAGTTCTCTGCCCGCGTAGCCATCCACCGTTCCCGGATGGAAATGGGCGGTCGTCGAGCTTCGCGGCCTCCGCGATGACCCAACAATGCTCTTGCAGCTATTCGATCGACCGTTGCAGCTCGCAGATGTCTGTGTCGCCCCTGGTGACCTAGCAGGGATCTTCCAGCCCTGGATCGTCACAACCGGCAAGAACTCCCTACCGGCACTAGGTGTTGGCCCCCAGTCCTCCGAGCCCATAGTGGCTCCCTAAGTCCAAGGCACGACCAACTTGCCGTGCCAAGCAAGCGTCTCGGGTAGGATCCAGTTGCTTCGGTCATGTCTGCGGGTAGCTCGTCGAGGTCCGCGCCGCTCCCTGCACTCTGAGTCAAACAAAGAGTTGTTACTTCACGACGACTTGTGTCGTTCCTTGACCAGCACGGAGATGGACACCCGCTGCCACTGCCACAAGAATGTGAACATTGCAACAGGGCATTGAGGCACCGGAGTGGCTGGCAGATGAGCAACCCGGCACCGCTGCCAAAGCCCGTTGCCTCACCGTGGAGTAGGCCCACACTGCCCGGCGTCTCTTCGGGCTCCCCTCCTCCGCTAGCTCCTCCGCCGACTCCAACGCCCCCGGATAATGATCCCCTACGTCGTCTTTGAGATGTACTGTCGCCACCTCAGAAATGACATGGGCAAGGTCAAGGTGGCCACGATCCTATCCTATGAACTACTAGAATTGATGTGTCCTTTTGTGCTTGTATGGAACGTTGTTTGTGGTATGTGCTCTTATGTGATGATTCGATGTATGTGTGCTATGTGTTAATCAACATTGCGTATGGTTTTATGGATTTGGGTTAGCGCGCTAAGCGTGTTCGACATATGGGTGGCCAAAATCCCTATCCGAATAATCCAAAACCCCTATGAATTTATTTATTTTGAATTGAATACCCCTATGAAATGAGTGATTTCGCTATGGAATTCGTTTGAAAGGTACCACTACTATTAATTTTTTTGAGGGAAAGGTACCACGACTAAAATCCTCGTGCTATCTCCTATGGGCCTGAAGTTTTTTTTCCCCTATGTATATGTGCACCGAGCTGCTACGCTCACACAGGCTTCTTTCTTCCTCAACCTCCTCTGCTCCCTCCTGCTCCTTTGCCCAGGCCCCTCTCGGCCTCTGCTCAATGGAGTGGCCGACGAGCGAGGATTGATGCCCGCTACTGAATTCCCTGAATTCCTTCTCGTTCCTCTATTTTTCCCCCGATCAATTGACGCCCTAATCTCCCTGATTTTGAGCCTGTGTTGTTGGATCGCAGGTCCTGGTCGCAGCCGTGCAGCTAGACGGCGCACACCGGAGCTCGGGGTACGCAGCCGCGGCGGAGCTGCTCCGGCGTAGACCCGCGGCCTGGTGCTCTACTGCCACTCCTGCGCTTTCCCCATTACTCCCGTTCCCCAAGTCGAACTGGTACTACTGAACTGCACCCATCTGGCCGATCTAGTTCAGACATCAGAGTTAGACATTTTCCACTGTGGTGCGGTTTTCTACAGTGCTGGATTTGCTTGTGCACCTTGGGCCCTTGTGGTTAAATTTTTTCCCAGAACACATGCTGTCAAGATTAATAGTCAGTGCACCCTAAACCATCATCTCTAAAAAAAATCTTTTAGACCTATGTAGTTACTTCTCCCTGTCTCCAGAATGACCGCAGGATCAAATGATTCACATGGTGACTGCTACAACTTGACGAGAAGTTAAGGCCTGCCGTGAGGGCGTGTAACTGCTAGTAGTGTTCAGATTTGCTTCACATCAGACCTTCAGCAAACTCCAAACATAATGCAGAAGTTCAGCTACAATATTGTACAGAGTTGTGGAGCTTAGCCCTTCAGAGGTCGTGAGATATCGAAGTACATCTCAGCACATAAGAAATAGGAGTAATATTTATGACCAGCAGTCCAGCATCAAGCAAACTCAAAAGTACCACACTCCAAGACAGGATAACAAAACATAACCACATAGAACAAGATTCAAACTTAGACACACGTGTCTCAGCACAGCAGTGGGGCCGTCAAGAGTGGAAGAGCGATGCATGCTACAGTCGAGGTAGAAAGGAGCCAAGGGGTCCGCACCAGCCACAGCGCGGAGAGAGTTCAAGTGTAAGTGAACTTGAGGCAGTCCAACACTCGACTCCTGAAGGCAGTGGAGACGAGGTCACTGGATCTTGAGACTGTTGGAAAACGAAGCTTCATTCTCCCAGCCTGCATCCGAATTAAATTACTCAAGGATACAATGAAATGAATGACCAAAATATCATAAATTAATGTTTACAAAAGGTTTTCTGTGAGAGTGATGTATGCCATTTACCTTTGCATTTATTTATAGCTGTGAATCTGAAATCACAGTTCATTCGATTTCCTTGCAGCGGATACTCGCAATCTTTGGCCAGCTTTCTCCATCGGGTGTTTGGCAGCTCTCCTTCAAGCGCTCACAACGCCGAACACATATATGTTGAAGGGAGGATGGTAGATCAGGTAAAGATGATATGTTGGGGCACCCGTAGATACCAAGCTTTGTCAGACTGGACAGACACTTCAGATTTATTGGCAGGGACCTCATTTCACTATTATATAATGACAGGTACCGCAGGGATGAGAAATTTGCAGATTCTTCGAATGAAACAGATGGCTCCTTGCAATTAATAAGATTGAGGAATTCTGGAACTGTAAAACCTTTAGCCGAGAGCATGTGGTTGAGTATCACAGGACTGCTAACACTGAGTGATTTCTGCACCCGAAACTGTGAGATGCACTTCGCTTTGAGCTTCGGGACATCTTTTAAATATACGCTGTGAAGTTGCAGGAAAGACAGTCCTTCAATAAAGCACAGATCAGGGAGATCTACTAGTCTTAATGATGCAAGGGAGGTCAGATGACCAATTGACAAGGATGCAAGGCCTCCACAGCCACCCATGTCAAGATCTCAGGTGCGGTAGACCACTACTGAAGAAATTAGCTCCAACCACGCACCGGGATGTAATGAGCATCGTAAGTGATAATGGCATTTCATCTGCTCCACGTGCCAAGTCTAGAGAAGGGCAGGAGTAAAATCTGACATCCAAAAGAGAGGTAGCAGCTCGTAAACCCCCTAATGACCTGAGACACCAGCAAGACTCGATGCACAGGTAGCGAAGCTCTGTCAAATGTTGGAGGACCTCTTGAGATGGAAGTGTAGTCAAAGTCATGATCTTATCTAAGGTCAGCATTCTCAGAGAAGTGAGAGTATTAAGGCAAACAACTAATGCCCCATCTGTAATACTGCATGAATAAAGATGAAGTTGGGTAAGTTGTGATGGTGGAACCAGAGGCAGCCCGATGCTTCTTCCATAAATGAGTCTCATCCTCTCCTTGTGGCAACATATCCATGCATTGATGCTATCCTCTATCACAAATTCCTCTCTTTCTATAACACTTCTAATGTTTTCAACACCTGACATATCTACATCCATCAATACCATCAACTGCTCCAGAGATGAAAATTCCGATGCTATTATGTCACTTGTTTTTGATACTGAACCCTCACTTGATATCAAAGGAAGATTTGATAACAATTGTGTAAACGAGGCTTCTGTATTCCCAGCCTGCAACCAAATTAAACAAATGAAAGATACAATGAAATGAATGAACATAGTATTTCAATGATCAAAATATCATAAGATAATGTCCACAAAAGGTTTTCTGAGAGAGTACCAACATACTACCTTTCCATTTATTTGTAGTTGTGGATCTGTGTAAGTGCATCTAGTGCCACCCCTAATTTGTTTTGGAGTATTGACGACAAACCTAGTTGAGGGACTAATGTGTTTGTGAGAATTGCAGGATAACACAGGTAGAAGCCCCTCATTGATTCGGTTTACTACCAGAGATGACCCCCAAAAATGTACGAAGACATTGAAGACAATGGTGGTATATGAAGATATTCACATTGAATACTATGACAAGAGAAGACACTACGTGAAGCCAATGGAACTCGAAGACTTAGATCTTTCGTAGTTCTTTTTCATTTGTGTTGAGTCATAGGAACCACCGTACTGTTAAGTGGGGTCCAAGAGAACCAGTCAGAATGACTGAAGTGATGCCTAATTCAAAATCCTATGTCTTCGAGCAAAGACTATGAGAGCAAATCTTGTCCAGAGTCGGACAAGTCAGCTTTACTTGTAGCCCAAGTAAAGTTGCCGTGTGAGTTCAAAATCTGACCGTTGGAACACGTGTCAGTTCCTTAGTGACCCAGGGTCATTTCCGACAAATCAGGTTGGGTTGCCCAGTGGCTATAAATAGTCCACCCCCTACAACCACAAACGGTCGGCTGCTCAGATTTCAGTGCACGGCTTTTGTCGTTTGAGAGCAACCCATCTCGAAGCCTTTGAGAGAAAATTCCTAGCGAGGAGAAAAGCCCTAACCACCCAGAGCCAGAGTAAATTGGGCATCACGTAAGTCTTCTTGTCTGAGTGGTCTGAAGACTTATTACACTTGAGGACTGTGCATCCTCTAGACGGTTAGGTGTCGCGTTCTGAGCATCCAAGAGAAATTGTGGATTGCCGGTGAACGAAGTCTGTGAAGGTTTTGGAGTCTACCTTGAAGACTTACCAGAGTGATTGGGCGAGGTCTGTGTGACCTTAGCTCAAGGAGATTACGGTGAGGACTGGGTGTCCTGAGCTGCGTGTTCAGGACTGGGTGTCCGGGACTGTGTGTCTTTTGGTTTAAATACCTAGCCGCTCCAACCAGACGTACAGTTGTCACAGCAACTGGAACTGGTCCAACAAATCATTGTCTTCAACGAGTCACTGGTTTCATCTTCACTTCCTTTTACTTACTGATACTCATTGTGAAGCCATTGCATGCTTGCTCTATCTCTTGTCTTCACAACGTAACTGTATGATTTGATTGGCTTCATAACTTCTTTCTACCTGATCCTTATTACACCGCAGCTACTTGTCATTGTGCTTTCACTCTATTGAACACTTGACCATGGCTTGCCTAGTGTAATCTAACTTCCGCTACATAGTGATAGGCATATCTCTACTGTTTGTCTTCATAACCTTCACGTTTTGAAGACTTTCATAAAAATCGCCTATTCACCCCCCCTCTAGTCGATATAACGCACTTTCAATTGGTATCAGAGCAAGGTGCTCCCTTGTTCTGTGTGATTCGGTTTAACCACCTGAAGTTTTAGCTATGTCAACTGCAGGGATAATCAAAGTCTCCGCTGCGTGCCCCGTCTTCGATGGAACTGAATATCCCTACTGAAAGAATAAGATGCGCATGCATCTTGAAGCCATTGACGTCGACCTATGGTATGTCGTCGAGAACGGTGTTCCCAAGGCTGGAGAAGGTGTCACTGCTGCTGATGTCAAGAAGTTCACTCAACTGGACTCTACTGCCAAGAATATCATCTGTGGTCATCTGACCAAAGGACAGTATGGCCGTGTGAGTGCTTTAAAGACATTCAAGCTGGTCTGGGACTGGCTCTCCAAGGTCAATGAAGGCATCTCAACCCAGAGAGACCAGAGAATCAGCGTTCTTCGCAACCTCTTCAACCGCTTCAAGCGAAATGACAATGAGAATGTCCAGCACACATTTGATCGGCTCACTGACATCACAAATGAGCTTCAAGCCCTCGGCGCTACTGAGATCACCAAACATGAAATCGTCAAGACGCTGCTGAGATCACTTGATAGTTCGTTTGACATCCTAGCCCTGATGATTCAAGAACGTCCTGATTTCAAGACACTCGATCCGTCTGACATACTTGAGAGGCTCAACACACATGAGTTTCAGCTTTCTGAGAAAAGAGATATCTACGGTCCAAACTATGGGCGAACTCGTGCCTTGAAGGCAAAAGCTGTTTCCTCATCTGAAGAAGAATCTGACAGCAGTTCTGATGATCCTGATGACATTGGAAGGGAACTTGCAATGCTAGTGAAGAAGTTCCAAAAATTCACCAAGAAGACAGGCTTCAGAAAGTCTTCACGATCAAGCTCAAGGAATGATGAAGCTTCTGCTCATGACTACAAGAAGAAAACATGCCACAAGTGCAAGAAAACTGGACACTTCATCTCTGAGTGTCCACAGTGGGACAATGAGAACAAAAGGAAGAAGAAGAGCAAGGAATATGACTCTGACGACAAGAAGAAGAAGAAGAAATACTCAAAGTCTTCTTCCAAGTCTTCCTCAAAGTCTTCATCACATAAGAAGAGCTCATCTGGCAAGGCACGTGCGTTTGTTGGCAAGGAAATGGATTCAGAGAAAGAGTCCGCTTCTGAGGAGGCAGAGGTAGAGTCTGAGGAGGAGTCTGATTCTGGCATTGCAAGTCTGGCTACAGCATACGTCGCCAAGTCCATCTTCAACACTGAAGACAATGACTTCATCACCGACACCGATGCAAATGACAAGGACGACTCCGCTCCTACCTACTGCTTCATGGCACGTGGTGCCAAGGTAAACAAACGCACTACTCACTATCAAACATCCAGTGACGATGACTCTGATTGTGATTCAAAACCCAGCTACAAAACACTTGCTAAAATTGCAACTGAACAACAAAAGGCCATGGAACATATTCAAAAATTGTTAGACAGAAGCGATGATCTGTTGGGTGCTGAAATGACTCGATCTGAATCCTTAATTGAAGACATAAAAAATCTTCACGTTAAGTATCAGGAACTTGAAGATCGTCTTGAGACTCTCTCAACTACTCATGAAAACCTTTCCTATGATTATCTTCAAAGGAAGCAAGAACTTGAGAAGTTGAGAGCGGATCATGAAGATCTTCAAAAGGAAAACGAGTCACTTCGCGCCGAACAGATCAGTTCCGCTCAGGAAGAATTTGAACCACCATGCCTTAAATGCATTGAGCGTGATAATGCTACTTCTGTTGCTGAATGTTCCACTGCTACCGCTGTTGCAATATCTTCAACTGTTGAAATGGTAACTAACCCCTCTGCTGAGGATACCACTGCTATTGCTGATGAGAATGCTAGGTTGAAGACATTGCTTGAAACAGGGATGTACAAAAGTCTTAAAGGGCATCAGACATTATGTGATGTCCTTAAGAAGCAGATTCTGAACCAGAACCCTAGGAAAGAGGGTGTTGGGTTCATAAGGAAAATAAATGCAGATGGCTCTTACTGGAAACCTGAGCAGTACCCCAAAACCACATGGGTTGCTGCAAAGGAATCCTCAGCAGATCCATCCAATCTATCTGGCTTCACTTGTGCTAACCCCATTATCATTGATGAATCCTTTGATGCAAACTATAAAGTGTTTAAGAATCAGAATGGTGAAGTGTTTGCCAGGTACATTGGTACTAACTGCAGGAATGGATCGCCTATGAAGAAGATCTGGGTTCCGAAAACGTGTCTGGAAAATCTTCCTGTGAATGTCTTCATGACACCTCACATGAAGAAGACAAACCTCAGCCCAAAGGCTTCATACAGACAGAGGACTCACCTGAGTCGCACTAACGCAAATGTTTTGCAGGGAAACCATACTCAGGCATATGAATATGAGAGCGGTTCATCAAACCGTCATGTTCATATGACCAAGAACTATTCTGCCTATTCTTATGAGTACTATTGTCCTCCTGCTAGACTGTTTGCTAGGGCTCCAAAGCCAAAATTCTCAGATGCTGCACTTAGACTTATTGCTTCTAAGCCACCCTTGAAGATGTGGGTGGTTAAGAAAGCTTAACTCTCTTTTGCAGGGAAAGGTCTCCAGCAGAAAACCAAAATCTTCTGATGCTATTGCTGGGGACCTTAAAAATCTTGCAGGGCGCAAGATAAAATGCCCTAATGGCATCACTATGTATTTCGTTCATGAATCGCATGCTACTCTCCCTATTAGTCCTAATCTGGATCTAAGTTTTCATAACCCACTGGTTCGTCAAATGTTTTTGCTTCACAATTCTCTTCGTGA